GGAGTGCGGAAAATAAATTGCAGAAATGTAAATCTAACTATTACAAGGCGCGGGTCTATACATCGCCAAAAACAAAAACCCGTTTTGGAAAATAAAGTGCGAGAAAATAAAGCAATAAAGGAGGTCCTAATTAACCATTACATTTCCGGAAGCAGTTACATAAATAATCAAAATAAATAAATACGCGCGAATAGAAATTAAATCGGGAACGTCCTAAGGGTTTTGACCCTTTTTTAAGAAAGAATTGAATTTTAAACCTAATTAACTAATTAATTATTTATTTATTAAAAGAAAAAAAAATGTTTTTGTGTTTTTTATGTTTTTGATGGAATAAAATAAAAAAGGAAATTAAAAGTTGAAAGTGAAAGACCTAATTCTAAATTAATTTTACTTATTAAAAAAATGTTAAAATTGTTCTAATTACACAACTAATTAATTAATATTAGAATTTATTTACAAAATAAGTTAATAAATAATAAAATTCTTTTTTGGTTTTCTGGATTTATTATAAAAAATATTAATTTGTTAATTAATCAAATAACAATAATAAATTAAAAGAATTAAAGAAAAAAAGAAAATAAAAGGAGTAGTAAAACCAAGGGGGTTAGTGGACCATTGGGAGGTTTAGTGAAGCAATTTTGGCCCAATAGCATTGAAGCCTGTTTAACTTTTGGAATTGTCCATGCTGGCTTGACTGGGGAGCATGGTGTTCCTTCATTTCTTGGCCTTTGGATCCATGATTATGGACATGTGGCGCATGGATTGGTGAGGTGTATGATGAAGCCCTTCAGGAAGCCTGCATAGGAATATGTATAGAAAAAATGGAAACGAATATGGGGTGGACCTGGGAATCGAACCCAGGTCCCTACGTTCAAAGCCTGCACGCTATGCCACTACGCCAACTGCTTCCATTCGTTATACTAATGAGAAAATGAAATTATATAAACAAAATAAGCGACATCCTGAAAATAAAAAAAAAGCGCGTTTTAATTTGAACTGGCCAGTGACGGGGAGACACATCATCATCGTCTTCAACAATTTGTTGGTTATTTACCTGCGTATTTTTATCCGCAGGAGATTTCATAGGCTTTACTCAAAATCATCCTTAGGCATCAAAAATTAATTCCAACACCATGGTTGGTCTCGTTTCCCTCTCCTGATCACTTCTATACCCATTATGGTGACCAATTTTTCCTGCACTGAAAACGCCTAAAAAACAAGCAAGAAAAACCTAGAATCGTGTATCACAGTATAAGGCCTAAAAATGAAATTGGCTATTGTCATTAGATCAGAAATCAAACAAGGAACATAACTATGCTAATATTTTTGAGGAAAAATGCAAGAATGGAGAATTCCCATTTCGTGTACAGGGGTGAGTTTGTGAATACTTACAGCGCGGTGTGATGGGTCTTAGGACGTGGCAAGGGTTGCGTTGGCTTCAGGGGATGGCAATGAAGAGGACCACGTGCTTCTTTTGATCTCAAAGTGCCTGCAACTTAGTTTTAGATCTCCCACTTTTTTGACAAATTTTGAGTTTTGGTTCTGGCCGTTTCAGTGAGCTCTAGGTCTTGAATGAGGCTTGTCACACTTGCATATGTAGGTATGAATGAGAATAAGTCACATTATGAGCCAATGATCCATTGCAATGATGTTTTGAGATTCTTCATAACCACCATTAAAGGAACTTTCCAAGTTTGTTCAAATTTGAATTTTTATGCATAATTGAGCTTGGCACGATTTTAGTAGGTTGCTCATGACACATAAAAGCCATTCAAATCAAAAGATGCTATCCATTTAATTTTTTTAGATTTTATTTGAATTTTATGGATTTAAAATGAATTAAATAAAATAAAATTAAATAAAATAGAAAAATTAATGTTTAATCTTGAAATGAATCATGGGACACGTGGGTGGCATGACAAAGCTGAATCAAGTGGAAGAAAGTGGGCCCTTTTGTCAAAAATTGAGGTTTTAGGGATAGTTGACTTTTGCCATTTCACAAAAATTTCCCAACTTCTCCAATGCATATCTTGCTCAATTTTGATCATATGAACATGTTCTTGGACATTTTGGAAAGGTCTTGAAGTCCTCTAACCAATGCCTTTGGTCCCATGTCATTTGGATTTACCAATCTCAAGTTATGGTCTTTGACTTAAAGTGCATTTTTGTTGACTTTTGAAAATGACCTATAATGTTGAAATTGATAACTTTTTGTGAGAGCATTTCTTGGACTTGGAATGTGAAGATGAGTTGTATTAAATGTCATCCCCTTCAAAATGAGCATTGGATGGGATTTTTCTGATGAACCATGAAAAAGTTATGCCCTGGTCAAGTTACAGTTGACTTTTCAACTGTCCAAAAATGGAAACTTTTGCATCTTGATGATTCTTGAGCCATTCTTGTGGAATCATGATCAAGACTTGATCAAATGATGATTGTGGCTTCAAAATAAGATGTTGACCAAAATTTTTGACTTTTGACTGCCAAATGACCATTTTACCCTTATAGTTGATTGTGGAGCAACTAAGGCTTTTGACTGTGCAACTTGACCCTGTGAGTCTTGAAACTTGGCATGTAGATGCTTGAGGATATGTGTAGGCCTATGGGACTTGATTGAGCCCTTGAAAACCTCAACTTCCTTGCAAGAACCAAAACCCTAATTTTGACTGGCTTAAGAGGATGGTTTGACTGTGCAATCCTTGAGTAGACTTGAGCAAATTGAGATGATGCTTGTCAAAACTATGAAGAATATGGGAGGGCAAATTTTGGGGTACAACACGAACCACTTAAGAAAAAGCTCTATGTCTAGGTTCTTGAAGATAAGCAGTGAAAAAATTTTCAATCGGTTCTTGAGCTCTGTCCGGTGTAAAATCTCTATTGGTTCAAGATAATTCTGGTAAAAAATCCTAGTTTGGTTTGTGGTTAGCCCGTGTAAAACTCTGGTTTGGTTCAGAGGATATCCAATTCAAAACTCCACCTTTGTTCAAGATAATCATGTATAAAATCTTGTGGTTTAAAGTTGGAGACTAACTGCTTGGAGTTTCGTTCGTGTTTGGAAGGAAGACTAACTGCTTTATTCCACTGCTCGTTGTTTGGTTGGAATTTAACCTGAAACTTCATCTTTCCTTGTATAAGAGGGTTCATGAGCTTAACCTACTAAAATCTCATAAGCATTGTTTGAAACCTTAATGATTGGGGAGAGTATTAAGTCACTACATTTATACCAAACAACTATAAATTCTAGTGTCATCTCTTCTCCCTTATCTTTTTTACTTTCCACCTATTTTCTTTCCATTGGTGTTCCACTGCAACTATTCAAACGTTTTATTCAAAATGTTTTCGAACTCTGATTTTCAAAATAATTTTATTTTAAACCATTTTTTCAAACCCCCATGATTTACCCCCTCTTGTGTGTGGAGTCACATGTCTAACAAGTGGTATCAGATCCTAACTCTTATTCAAATATTAATCGTGTCAGGAAGAGGATAACTTCTAACATCTTATCTTAATAAGAGGTCTTTCCTAAACACACCTCCACCGTTTAATGGTGATAGATTTGAATTGTGGAAATTTAAATTTAAAATTTTCATTCAAGGGAGTGTAAGCATAAAACTAAGGGAGGGTTTGCGCTTATTTTCCTAAGAACACTCCTTTAATATTCTCTCGTGAAGTATTCAATGGAGTGTAAGCATAAAACTAAGGTAGGGTTTACGCTCATTTTCTTCCTTGGACCACCCGTCACCCTTCTCTAATGGTTAGCTAGACACCCTTCTCCAAGGATTCTATACTAGGCACCATTTGGTGGACGTTGTTCAACAAGTTGTTGCCTTCCTACAAACCAAGATTAGCTTGCAAGAGTTGAAAATTGAGTAGCATCACTAACTCATACATTATAGGCGATGATATAGGTATGAATATGGGTTTTCCTAGGTGAAACTATGGTGCAGATCCGCAGAATGGAGAATGTTGAAACGCTCTATGATTTGTCCTAAGTTGTACATGATTTTGCGATAGAGGATCAGATGGATCAATCGTCAAAATTTGATGGTTTGCTCCTTGAAAATGAGGCAGATGATTTCTGGAAGCTTCAGCGGCAACAATAGTTTGTCGTTGGATGGAAGAATGAGTAATTTTGGAGGTCGTCATTGTTGACAGATTAAATGGATGAGAGTTGAATTTGAACCTAACAAAAGTGTAAGGAAATGGAGATCCACGGTTCAAACAAAGGAGATTCAATTGAATCAAGAGAAGTTTGATCGTGGAGAATCACAAAAATCAGAAGTTGATTCTCACAAATGACGATAATGTTCCATGTTGGAACTGGAATTGATTAGAGAATATGAATTCAGAGTTTGTTGAGGGAGTTCAGAGCTTCCGATGCAGTGGAGAGGGAAATGACCAACAAAGTTAGCACTTCAATGCTCAAGCCAATAAGAGAATGAAAAATAGAGTTTGAATAAAAAATTATTTGAATACCTACGAAGTAACACACTTCTCTTTAAATAGGAGAATGTGGTGATAATTTAATGTGTGTGAAGCGTGAGATGCAATTGACCGTCAGATTGATCTAGACGATTAGGAGGCGTTCATGTGAAAGATTACATACATATTCCTCTGAGGAAAAGAGTCCATCTATTATGCTTTTGAAGCTATTTTGTGTAGTTATTGAGCTTTCGCTTATATAGGTCTTGTCCTACCGATGCAATTTTTTAAAATAAAAGTTAAACACATCTATATAATTAACTGACACCTCTCAATATCAATCTATAGCAATTAAATTCTTTTATAAAAGTATGCAACTTGTATTTTCAACCACAATTAAACTTTTAATACATTACTCATGCATTTTATTACAAATGACACTCTTTTGACAAAAGATATAGGTGTACAAATTACACTTGCTCTTTTATTTATTTATTTTATTAAGACAATAATTATTTTTTTTCTTCTAATATTATTTAGTTATATGACTTATAATATGCTATTTTTCTCGGACTACATCATCCCTTGTTTGCCTCCACGTTTTTTGATGCGCAAATAGATTCTCCTCTCTCAATTACTTTTGCCATTTTAGACAATGCATTGTACGAAGAACCACCCTGGCACAAAGCTTTCTCTGCACTCACTTTAATCTCTCTCACTCTATCCCTCATACGGTGGTTGCTTTCCCCATTTTGTCCGACCAAATTTGTCACCAACCTTGCTATCTCCTCTCTCCCCACCACATTCTTCGTCGGCATCACGGTAGTCTTCACCGCCGCTCCAAGCTCCTCCGCAAGCATTGTCGCATTCATCTTCTGCTCCGCATAAAGTGGCCAAGCTATAATCGGAACACCGTTGGTCAAACTCTCAAGAACAGAACCCCAACCACAGTGCGAAACAAAACCACCAATAGAAGGATGTTTCAAAATGGTTACCTGTGGGGCCCACTCATTTACTAATAAACCCACATTCTTAATCCTCTGTAAAAACCCCTCAGGTAAATGCTTCCCTATCTTATTCTCATCAAGCCCGTTATTTGATCCGGTGGTGAAAAACGCCGCGTCCGCAGCTTCTCCCGTGGGCGCGCGCACCACCCAAACAAATCTCTGTTTACTTAACTCCAAACCGAAAGCTATTTCCCTCGTCTGGTCATACGACACCGTTCCACCGCTTCCAAACGAAACGTAAATCACAGATTCATTCGGTTGTTTATTAAGCCATTGAATCATTAACTCAGTGTCTTGACTCGTTTCTGACTCGGTTTGTCTCACCAGTGGTCCAACAGAAAATACAGGAACTTTCAACAAACCTGATAATTCACAATCTCCATCATTTAGTGCTTTCAATTCTTTAGGTTGAAGATCATCCCACGTGTTAACTAAAACGGCGTCGCTTTTGGAGAGGTTTTCCACTGAGGCAATATACTCTTTATACTGCAAGTCGTTCCGGTCCAGCATTGGATCAACTAAATCCTCGGGTCGAACCGGTTTACAACCCGGGATTTCGAACGGTTCTTTCTTGTCAATGTATTGTCCTTCAATTTGTTTGTCCAAAACTGGAGAATAGACCAAGAGGGAAAGAAACCATGCATGTGAAGCTACATAGACGAATTTCGAAATGTTGAGTTGTTGTGCTAAGGCTAAAGCTTCTGTTCCAAATATGTCGACGATGAGTGCGGAAGGAGGGACGGGTAAGTTTGTGAGGATGGATTTGATGGAAGGTAGGGAGAGGCGCACAGTTAGGAAGATGCGGCTGCAGACAGCGGCTGAGGGTGGGAGGAGGGAGGAAATGTTTGGTGATGGGATTTGGATGAGGGTGTAGAGGGAGGGATTGGTGGCTGATTGGAGGATTTGGGATTCAGTGTGTGAGGTTTGGGAAGTGATGGCGAGGATTGTGACTTTGAAGTTGTGGTGGGTGAGGAAGCGTTTGCCGAGTTCGATTATTGGGATGAGATGTCCTAAGCCTGGGCTGGAGAGTAGAACAACGTGTGCTGGCTTATGCAAATCCATGATGAATCAAGAGTTGGGAAAATGAAGGGATTATTGGAAAATATATAAGCTAAATTTTTATGTTTGTATTTGTATTTCTATGACGATCATATAAATAGCTAAGTTTGCATTGATTGGGATACATATTCGAATCCGTAACATTTATTGAAAATTTCAATAATTAAATTAAATAAATTAAAAGAGGCAAAAAATAGTATAAAATTTTATACCAACAATTAATTATTAATGTGTATTCCGACAAATTATATTTATATTTTTAAATTATTTATTTTAATAATATTTTTTTCCTATTTTATTTTATTTTATTTAATAATTGAAATTTTTAATAAATATTACAGATTTGAATATATATATATATATATATATATATATATATATATATATATATATATATATATATATATTCGAATCTGTAATATTTATTGAAAATTTCAATCACTAAATTAAATTAAATTAAATTAAATAGGCAAAAAATAGTATAAAGTTTTACATCAACAATTAATTATTAATGTATTAATCACTATAAAGTTATATTTATATTTTAAAATTATTTATTTTGATAATATTTTAGATAATTTTTTTAAGAGATTAAAATAATATATTAATCACTATAAAGTTCTTCCGGTATAAGGAGTATTAGAAGAACTGTTTAACTATAATGACAACAACAACAGAACCACAACGCAAAACCAACAAAATAAACCTTTAATTATTCGACACGCTGTAATAAACACCGTAGAGGATTCAACCTCAAATTCAGATAATCAAAAGTGAACAAATGAAAATAAGATTTAATCCACTAGAAGGAAAGAAGTTTAACCTCTTCATAAATAGAAGTCAAACTTTGACTAATGTTATAAAAAAAATCGTTAATTTTGCACTTTCTAAATGCTCCACACAACAGTTATCCATATGATGTGAAAGACATTACGACATGATTTTGACCACTCTCCAAAGCCACAAAATTATCATGATGCTCCCGAAGATTTCCATGAGACATCGGCGCAAATCCTAACCAACCCGACACCACTTGCCAAATTTTACCAAAAAATCACATCGGACATAAATATGGTCTCGGTCCTCATTCTGATCACACTCTACTAAATAATTTTATTCATGGGCACTAATAATATGAGGTTTAACTAAATTATCCTTTACCGATAATCTATTACGATATAACCTCCAATAAAAAGGTTAACCTTTAATCAGACCACCTTAGACCACCAAACGTGAGAGTCTCCAAATTATTAGGGCTCCACCGACTTCGTCAAAAACTGATATGCACTGCTCACATTATATCGCTTTGAAGAATGAAGTCGCCACACCCAAGAGTCATAAGTCGAGTTCTACAAAATAAAAGAATCCAACAATTGAATACCCTCCCAACCAACTCCTCCTTCCATGTTGTTGTACCCCAAATTTTGCCCTATCTTTTCTCAAGACATTTCACACAAGATCCCTAATGGTTCAAGCTTGCACAAGTATTGACTAGGTCAAGCCATCTCCTTAACTCTGATGCCTCAAATTAGGGTTAGGATTTTCACAAGGACAATTGGACTTATAGTGTTTAAATTGACTTTCTTGGATCATCATGGACCTTCAAGAATGTTCATATCAAGTTTCAAGTCTTGAATCTCAATATTGCTCAGTCAATTGATCAGATGACCCAAAATCGACTGTATTGGATAAAAAGTCAACCGTGGTCAACCTATAGTCAAACTTCAATATTTTTTACCAATATCAACATTTTGAAGTTATATGTATCAATTGATCAAATTTGGATCACAATTTCCCAAGAAAAATGTTCAAATCATCAAAAGGGTAAAATGGTCAAAATTAGGGTTTTGACTGTATTTGACTAATCAAGGGTTTTTGACCTAATACATGATCTAATGGCTTGAAGCACAATCTCAAGGATTCAAATACAACATGTTGACCTAATTTCATGGCTCAAAACATTTCTCAAGATAAATTGATTGATAGTTGAAATTCAATCAACTAATACACCAAAAGTCAAACTTTGACTTTTTGATCAAAATTGAGTTTCAAAGATCACATTTCATCATGACATTCAAAAATATGAAACTTTATCCTCAAGAAATCAAGAAAGTCAAAAGTCATTTTGAAAAGTCAAAGTTTTCAAGACTTAGAAATTTTTTAAAGTGTTTTAATTCTTATTTTTTTTCATGACTTCATGCCAACTTTGCACCAAGATGCAAGATGATTAAAAGAAAATTTTCAACATGAAAGTTGTAGATCTTGATGATATCTACAACTTTTCTTTATTGATCAAGTTCTATAAATGCTTGGATTTTGAGTTATGAATTTACAAAGTCATGCACTTTTTATAAAAAAACACTTAGTGAAAATTTGACCGAGTTTAGGCAGATTTTTGACCTAACTTGATGGAAATTTTTCACATAGTTCTAAATTGATTCTTCAAAAATGAAAAACATGAAGGTTGTATAGGATGTACCAAGATTTTCAAAATCTCAAAGAACTCATTGAGATCATTCTTGAGCTAGGATAATCGAAGAGATGAAGTTAGGGTTTCAAACTTGAATTACAAGGCATTTTTCATGAAGAACACTTGACCAAATCCATAGCTATGCCGCACAATCTTGTTTTACAGGCTTCTAAATAGTAAATTACTCCATAATTAATTGTTTACACAATTTATTGAGGTATGGTCCAAGTGATTAAGCCATTATCCAAAGCAATTTTCCATATTTGGAATAAAGTTACCATTCCATTCTCATAAAGCAAGCTTTATGCAAAGTCAACTTGTATTGAGCTTTGCACTTGTTCCTTCTGCACAAACTTCCTCTAAAAATTCAGATAAGCATGTTTAAAGTTTATAACCACTCTAGATAGCTTTGTACCTTGCCTTGAAATCATACTTGTCAAGCTTGCTTAAAAACAAGTAAAAATCCCATAACTTGTGATCTTGTGATTCTGATCATTCCAAGTCTCCAAACCTTTTCCTATAAATTAAGACACTCTTATGCAACTTAGGACACGATTTGACAAGCCCTCAAATACCCTCACTCTCCCTCAAACCATAAATTGCAAAACAAACACAAAAACTTGTCATTTCTGACTTTGAAACTCAATCTTCAAATCTACTCGTGCGTTTTCACTTCTAATCCATCACAAAGCCTCTAATACACATATAAAGGCTATCCCAATCCCTGTTTTCCAACTGTAACACCATCTTCTTCATATTACATAACCAAAAATAGAGTATTACAATTGGACTTCTCCAGACCATTTCAGCCACTCTCCATTCAAGTTAAGCATTGCATTAGCTTCCTAGGGACTCAAGGAAGCTAACCTGATCATTGCAGCACCTTGAAACAAGCTCAAACTCAAAACACAAAATCCATTTTTAAGGTAAGTTTTCTAACTTTTGAACTCTTAATATAGACATTGTTAGCTTTCTATTTGTGAAGATAAAATATATACATCATAGCCCTGAAACTAGTCATGTCCTTAGAATTCATTTATATTGCTTGAGTAGTGAGAATTTTGAAGATGAACTTTCTAGAAAATTAGGTCAGAATTTGGTACATTAGAAATTCGCGTTCATCTTTGAGTGTTAACTTAAGTTATTTACATTTCTGAAATCGTGATAAAATTTCTAACAAGTTTGATGTTCATACTTTTGAGAATGGATGGGAAATGAATGAGTTGCAGAAGCTCTGGCTGGCGCGAGGAAGAAGATGAAGTTGATCACATAAACATGTTTTATTTTAAGTTTATTGATTGTTGTATTACTAACAGATGAAACAGGTCACCCCAGTGGCAACAAGCGCGCGCGCGTAAGGTATACCTCTATAAGGTCCTGGGTTCGAGGCCCAACAAGACCTTTTGGTTTTTTTCTCTATATTTTACGTGATTTACTTTTTTTGTTTGAAACAGGCGCGCTGGGCCTCCCTCCATTGGGCCTGCCCCATTTACTCAACAATATCCCCCTGTTATTTATCACACGCAACCCAACTCAATTTTTTTTTAATCATTTTTGTTTCTTTTCTGATTACAAAAATCATTCTTGGGTTTAACTACAACAAAAATCTATTTTGCTTATTTACACCTTAAATCATTTTCAGACCCCCTTACTTTAATTTTATATTTTCATTTAATTTTATTTTTCTTTATTATTATTATTATTATTATTATTATTATTATTATTATTATTATTATTATTATTATTATTATTATTATTATTATTATTATTATTATTATTATTATTATTATTTTATTAATCAAAAATACCAAAAATATATTATATTTCTTATTTAGATATTTTAAGTTTATTTTTAATTCTTTTAAACAAAAGACCAAAAATATTTTCTTAATGAACTTAATTTCTTTTTCCTAATTAAATCAATTTAGGCTTAGATTTATTTTAATTTTCTTTGTATACTAATTAACTTAGAATTTAGGATTTTTAATTAATCTCTTTTTATTAAGTTTAACTAGGTTATAAAACTCTAAGAATTTTTTTTCTAAATTAATTTAGGTTAGTTGAATTAATTACTTATTTCTTTAGCTTAATTATAATTAACACCCTTTCAAAATACTCTAACAAAAACAATTTTTTCCCTTGTATATTACTATGCATTCTTGTACATTATTTGTTCATATTCAATATGGTTGTAATAGTAAATTAGGATTTATTTGCTTTCATCCCCCATTTGTAAATTTGTATCCCCGTCCCCAAATAATATAATAGCGTAGAATTTTAAATTTCCTCAATTTATCGCTTTCAATATAAATGCTAGTAATTAAGGTTTGTATGGTAAGGCATAAAATCAATAAGTAGAAAACCCTAAATCAAAAGACAAAAATGCATGAAAAACAAACACTTTGCACACTTGCACCTCTAAGACTAACCTCACTTGTTGCCTAAGATAAAAATAGTCATGTTACGCAAATATGGCATACTTTAGCAAAAACAATTAAAAAACAAGATCATAGTTCCTAGACGACCCTTCAAA